ACCACTGGAACCGAACGGCACGGTTGTCGCAGGGTGCTCCTGCGCGACCACCTTGGCCAAAGTTTTGCTTCTGGTTGTGCTGAAGCGGGCGCACCTAGAGGCTCCGATCGTCAAGATTAAGAATGTTGTAGACGACGTGTGTTTCCACGCTGTTGGGGGCGAGGCCACGGTGTCAGGGCAGGTAGCTAGGGCCTTCAACATGGTTGCTGCCGATGTGCAGGCGCGCAAGCTGCCGATCTCGTGGAACAAGGCTGGAGTGCTGGCCAGCACCAATACGCTTGCGTCTGCCTCGATGGCTGAGCTGCCCCCACAGGCGGCTGCCAGCCGAGAGTCAGCTCATAGAGATCTGGAGGGGGGATGCGTCGGACGGGCGGTTTCGTCGGGTCTCCACGCACCTCGATCGATACCTCGCGGCAAAGAGGCGCGCGATCAAGCTGCGCACGCTGCAAGGAGCTGGCGCGACCATTTTTCGCATCCACCGCTCAGGCCCAACGGCAGTTGCCATGTGGGGTTCCTGTGTCCACGGCCTAGGAGACACGAAGCTCCATGGGCTGCGAGTTTTGACGGCTCACGCGGAAGACAGATTCCCGAGGGGGTCTTCGGTCGGGCTGTTCCTGGGCAGTGGGCGTCAAGGTTGGAGGCGAGATCCGCTGATTTTAACGACGACGGACTCGATTCGCCAGTATTGCGAAACGCTCTCCGACGGACAGCTCTCGAGGGCGGTCCTGGAGGCGCTGGTGGTTGCCGGCAACAAGAATGCTGCCTCCGAGCGGCCATGGGTAACCTGCAGGGATCCAGTGGCTGCCGCGGCCATAACAGCCCAGAGGGTGGGATGGCGGTTTCGGGATGCGGTGACTTTGGTGGACGATCGGGGGGTCGACTGGGATCTGCGATTTTACTCGCCTGCCTGTATCGCAACTCAGATTTCGTTTGCGGCTCGACGCGCCTCGGACGTCCGAGCGCTAAGCCTGCAGGACGATGCCTGGGTCACCGACGTGTGCTGGAGGCCCCTGCTTGAGCTGATGTTTTGTGACTGGACGGAGGCCTGGGGCCGCCGCGTGCAGAACTCTCTTCGGGGCTTGGTTTCAGGGTCCCACTGGACCCAGGGCAGGCTTCACGACCAGGAGCCGTCTCTCCCAGAGGTGTGCCAACTGTGCGAAGGAGCGCGGGGAACCATGTTTCACCGTTGCTATGCCTGCCCTGCGCACGATGCTCTTCGACGGGACTGCATGCCCACGAAGTTGGCCAGATCGGCCGACAGAATGAGGCAGAGTCCGCCAGCTTGGAAGAAAAGGTTCGCGCGGGGGTTGTTTCCTGAGCCTGGCCAGTGCGCGGGGAGGCCACCTTTCAATCCAAACTGTGGGCTGCGGGCGCACGGCGCCCTCCAGCTGCCAATCCTCCTGGAAGGAGGGTACGTCTTCACAGATGGGTCGGGCCTTGACCAGCACCACCCGCCCCTCAGAGTTGCAGGCTGGAGCGCGGTGCTGTATGACTCCGACAGGTGCTACGTCGGAGCGATTTTTGGAGCAGTGCCGCCTGACATCGGCATCACTGGCACGGCCAGAGATGGCGAAGACTATGCTATGCTGATGTGTGCCCAGAATGTTATGGGTCAGTTCACTGCGCGGGCAGACTGCAAGGGTACACTAAGATGCTGCCAGTCGCCTAGGTTGTCGACTTCGGAGTGCAATCCGCGAGCCCACCTGTGGAGGCGGGTGCATGCGCGCGAAGATTTCCGTGCTCGGCCGTTTGAGCACGTCAAGGCCCACACGTCGGCCGCCAGCGTTGAGAGTGACCTGATTTCGCCTTTCGACAGAGACGGCAACAATGCTGCAAATAGCTTCGCCAAGAGAGGTGCGGCCCATGCCAGAGCCGCCGTCTGTGACGTAGAGCTGGTAGAAGGATGCCAGTTGATTGCCAAGCTAGCGGCCAAGTTTTCGGCCCAGCTTGCGGCCTCGATAGCCTCGTCAGAAATTCGGGACAATGTCGGGGTCGAGTACCTCAAGAAAATCGACCTGGGGCTGTGGCACTACCACGGTTTGTCGGTCCCAGAGGTCCCTGAGGCGGAGTCCACAGACGCGGTCCCCCCTCCTCCTGAGCCTCCTGCTCGTGCTGCTGCGGCGGAACCTCCAGGGCCCGCCTCAGAGGACCCCGACTGGCTACTAGACAAGGGTGTTCAGCCCTGGAGAGTGAATGGACACTGCGTGGTGCAGAGCTCGGTGCCCAATGACTCCCCGATTATTTATTGCCCGTCGTGTTGGCAGTATGCGACCACCCCGATGCAGCGAGGGCTTGTGGGTGTCTGCAAGGGACCCAAGAAGCTCTCGGGTGGGTCAGCGTACACTGTCCGAAAGAGGCTGAAATAAGGTTTTCATCCTGTTTTGCACCCTCTTGTGGCGCTAGGGCCTCCGGAGGCCCCGTCCGTGGAGACCAGGGGCCGTTTCTCCAGGCATTTCGGGGAGGCCCCTGGTGGGGCGGCCGTGGCTCCAAGAGCGCCGAGGGTCGTCCCTTTTTCGAAGCAGGCTATGGCCCCACGCCTCGGCTTGGAATCCGTGCTGCTTGCTTTTGGCTTCAGCTCCAGAGAGGAGGCTGAAGTGATTGGTCGGCAGATGCTCCCTGATCGAGCTTCTGCCCAGGCATGGGCGGCGAGTGCCGCGGACCCAGAGGCTGAAGTGTAAGTTTCTGGGGGGTGGGGGGCCCTGTCGGCTGGGCCCGCCCGAGGTGGGTCACAGCCTCGGGCGGGAACAAAAAGTTCTCGTCTGATGGGCGCCCCCACCCCAATTTTCCTCTCTCCCCCCCTGACCCTTCCCCCTCTATGGGCGGTGAACCTCCTCCTCCTCCTCCTCCTCCTCCTCCTCCTCCTCCTCCTCCTCCTCCTTCCCCCGACGCGGGCATGGTGCCACGCGTGCTGTGGGGGACGATGCCTGCGGATGCCACGGCAGTGGACGCCCTGACAGTCCTGTCCTTGAATGTGAGAGGTGTGTTCAAAATGCTTGGAAGCATGCTCTGAGCATGTTCAAAACATGTTGCCTGCAGGCTGAAAACCTGCTTCAAACATGTTTTAGACATCTGGAAATTATTTAGCAACATGCTTCAATCGGACTTGATTGGACAGGACACCCCATAGGACACAAGACTCTTACAACGGCAACATGACCCCAGAACGAAGAAAAAAAAAGATGCGGGTTGCACAGGTCGGGATAGACAGGACACAAGGTCGGAAGCTGGGCGAGGGCTGGCAAATCCGTGGCTGCTTAAACAATCTTCCCGGAAGAAACAAACAACTCCCTGGAACAAAACTCAGAGCGTACATAGTAAACGGGCTGCTTCCCGGGAGGAAAGAACAACGTCCTGGAGCTCCGTTTTAGCGGCCACGGTTCTGCCAGCCTTCGCCTGACGTCCGACAAGGTCATCATTGACTTGTCATCGTCGCCCTGCCAATCAAGGCCGACTTTGCACATACCGCCACTCGCCGGACCTATCCCGGAAGGCGTCATGGACCGCCCCTCGCGGCGAACCCAGCCCAGCCGTGGCGACGAGAGTCTCTCCCAGGACGCCTGGAGGGGCGAAGAGATTGGGCCTGGGGGGGAAAGGGGCGCAGGGGAGGAGAGAGAAGGAGGAGGAGGAGGAGGAGGAGGAGGAGGAGGAGGAGGAGGAGGAGGAGGAGGAGGAGGAGGAGCGACTGCCGCCCGTGTGGAGGGGCAGGGCCTCGGCGGCGCGCACGAGGGGGCATGGGGAGGGGGGAGGGCCTCTTAGACGGCGAGGCTGCTTCTTCGAAGGCGCTGGCCTTCCATCGACAGAGAGAGGGTAGGCGTGGAGTCCTCGTCGACCGTGGCTTGGCATCCAGGAATGAAGACCTGGGTTCGTTATCTGCAGATGACACCCTATGGATGATTGTCCTGTGCATGGATGGGGCTCAGCCCCACCCCCTGCCAAACCATGATTTTTCCGGAATCATCGACCTAAGTTTAATGTTCCAACATGACGAACTAAGGTTTAATTCAGGCCAGAACGTACCCCCAAACGGCGCCCCCCAGGCCCAATCATTATCATTCCAGAAAAATCAACCCGGGGCCAATAATCCGGGAACATTATGATTCGGGGTCTATTCTCGTGGAGATAATGAACAAGAGTCAATATTCCGACATGAAAAACCTGGTGAGGAACCCGGGGGTTGGGGGAAAATAATAATTATTATCATTCAGGAAGACGAAAACCGAGTTCATTATTCCTGGGACTTTGTAAGCCCCAGTCAGCATTCCCGAAACATTATGACCCCAAGCCAATATGTTTTTAGGGTCGATATCCCCAGAACATGATAAACCAAAATTTATAATGTTCCGGGGGGACATAATGAACCCCCCAGTCAATATTCCCATAACATTTTAACCCAGGTTCATAATGTTCCGGGCGAGACATTATGAACCCTGGTCAATAATCCCAGAACAGTATAAACCCAGGTTAATATATTTTTGAGGTCCATCCTGGACAGAGAAGGCCCGCGCCTCCTAGGAAGCAGGGGTGTTTCCAAGAAGCCTTCCCCCCTCCCCCTGCCCCCCTCTGCGCGTGGCCGAAGCCTATGACATCACCCGAAACGAGGCCCACCACCTCGTGTGTGTTTTTTGACGCGGATCCAAGGCGCCTTCAGAGGACGCCCTAGAGGGAAAGCGCGTGCTGGCCGCATGTTTTGCATGACTGGGGCACGCTCGCCAGAACGACCAGAGAGGCCCCCAGGATCGCCACAAGGCGGCCCAAGGAGGCTCAAGGAGAGCAAAAGGCCGCAGGCGACCCGAGGAGGAGGAGGCGGAGGTGGAGGAGGGGGGGGGAGGAGGAGATGGAGGAGGAGGAGGAGGAGGAGGAGGTGGAGGAGGACGGGTCGCCTGAGCCCTTCGGAGAAGCCCTCCAACCTGCCCCCTTCTGCGCGTGGCCGAAGGTCGCCGAGGCACGACGCTGGCGCCAACGGCCGGTGCTGCAGAGAGGGAGCGCGCTTGCACAAAAGCGTCCTCCTCCGTCTGCACCGTCTGGCGGACCGTCTGGTGTGTCACGGGCGTCGTCCGCGACGAGCTCCATCTGCACGAACTCCTCCTCGGAGCGCGAGCCGCTCTGGTGCCTGGGCGCTTCCAACGAACTATCATCAAAAGCGATCAGAAGGATCGAGTTCGAGTAGGCACGACCCTTCAAAGGCGCCGATGTGTGTCAAATTCAACAGACGCTCTGGCTCCCCAAAAAAACAGGATGCAAGGGAACCTAGCCAGGCAACTTCCTTGTTCCCGCGCGCCAAGACGCATCGGGGGAACAGAAGCCGGACGGAAGCTGCCAGGGATGCCAGGAGAGTCGGAGCGATGGTCGCCCCCTCGCACAGATGCCGTCCGACAGCGCAACGACCGCGGAGAGTCAGGGGAAGCCCAGGCTCACGTGTCTCGGGGTCGTGCCCGCCGCTGGCAGCAAGCGGGGGAGCCGCGCACGCCGAAACAACAAGAAGGAGCCGGAGGGCCCGGTTCGGAGATTGTGCAAGCGGGTCAGGCAGAGCCACCGCTGGCGGGGCACCACCCCCCGGAGCACGCGCCCCTCGCGGCCACGGGGCCCGCCGAGAGAGAGAGAGAGAGAGAGACAGAGACAGAGACCTCCGTCGGCGCCACGGATCCGAGGTCGCTGGGGGCAGGGGCCTGGGCTTAGGTCGGGCACGTCCCCCCACAGGCGCATCTTGGACGAGAAACGACAGGTACCCCAACACTACCCCCAAACAGTCAGCAGGTGCTAAAAAAATCGTCCCCCGACTATTTTGTTACTATTTCTGGCGATTCCCCCCTGTGGAGGGACAGGCCCGACTGAAGCCTGTGCCACAGCTGCCCAGCTTCGGGCACCGCGCGCTGGAGCCCCAACGGGGGGCTCTCTTGGCTTTCTGGGGGGCGAGGCTCCAGAGGCCGCCTGGGCCTCCCAGGAGAGGCTAGGGTCGCAGGGTTAAGCCGGGCCTGTCCTTCTACAGGAGGAGTATTCAAAAATAGTCGAAAGAATACCCTGTGACGTACCCAACCCTGTCTATACATGTGGCGATTATACTCAAGACCACTCAATGCTGACTGGCATTCTGAAGGACCCGCAGTGCGCAAGGAGAGCACCCAACAGTGATTTCAGAAGAGCGCAGCAAGAAGAGGAACGGCAACTATACAAAATGGAAACACAGGGGCGTTGAAAGAAACGCGTATGACGTACCTCCGAATGATCCGCGTGGGACCCACCTCCGCTGGGCCTTCCAGGAGCCCACGAAAGCGGCAACAGTTGCGAAAACCGGCAGCCCCCCAGGGGCGGCGAGGTCCCGAGGTGATTCGCGTGGGACCCACCTCCGCTGGGCCTCCCAGGAGCCCACGAAAGTGGCGACAATTGCGCAGATCGCAAGCCCCCCAAGGGGGCGGCAAGGTCCCGAGGTGATCCGCGTGGGACACACCTCCGCTGGGCCTCCCAGGAGCCCACGAAAGTGGCGACAATTGCTCAGATCGCAAGCCCCCCAGGGGGCGGCGAGGTCCCGAAGTGATCCGCGTTGGACCCACCTCCGATGGGCCTCCCAGGAGCCCACGACAGTGGCAACAGTTGCACAATTCGCAAGCCCCCCAGTGGGCGGCGAGGTCCCGAGGTGATCCGCGTGGGACCCACCTCCGCTGGGCCTCCCAGGAGCCCACGAAAGAGGCGACAATTGCGCAGATCGCAAGCCCCCCAGGGTGCGGCGAGATCCCGAGGTGATCCGCGTAAGACCTACCTCCGATGGGCCTCCCGGGAGCCCACGAAAGTGGCGACAATTGCGCAGATCGCAGCCCCCAGGGCACCGCGAGGTCTCGAGGTGATCCGCGTGGGACCCACCTCCGCTGGGCTTCCCAGGAGCCCACGAAAAAACACGACAATTGCGCAGATCGCAGCCCCCAGGGCACCGCGAGGTCTCGAGGTGATCCGCGTGGGACCCACCTCCGCTGGGCCTCCCAGGAGCCTACGAAAAACACAACAATTGCGCAAATCGCAGCTGCCCCCAGGGCACCGCGAGGTCTCGAAGTGATCCGCGTGGGACCCACCTCTGCTGGGCCTCCCAGGAGCCCACGAAAAACACGACAATTGCGCAGATCGCAGCTGCCCCCAGGGCACCGCGAGGTCTCGAAGTGATCCGCGTGGAACCCACCTCTGCTGGGCCTCCCAGGAGCCCACCAGAAAAATGCGACAATTGCGCAGATTGCCGCGAGAGGTGATCCGCGTGGGACCCACCTCCGCTGGGCTTCCCAGGTGACGACAATTGCGCAGATCGCAGCCCCCAGGGCACCGCGAGGTCTCGAGGTGATCCGCGTGGGACCCACCTCCGCTGGGCCTCCCAGGAGCCCACAAAAGTGGCGACAGCTGCGCAAATCGCAGCCCCCAGGGCACCGCGAGGTCTCGAGGTGATCCGCGTGGGACCCACCTCCGCTGGGCCTCCCAGGAGCCCACGAATATGGCGACAATTGCGCAGATCGCAGCCCCCAAGGCACGACGAGGTCTCGAGGTGATCCGCGTGGGACCCACCTCCGATGGGCCTCCCAGGAGCCCACGAAAGTGGCGACAATTGCGCAGATCGCAGCCGCCCTCAGGACACCGCGAGGTCTCGAGGTGATCCGCGTGGGACCCACCTCCGCTGGGCCTCCCAGGAGCCCACGAAAGTGGCGACAGTTGCGCAGATCGCAGCCCCCAGGGCACCGCGAGGTCTCGAGGTGATCCGCGTGGGACCCACCTCCGCTGGGCCTCCCAGGAGCCCACGAAAGTGGCGACAATTGCGCAGATCGCAACCCCCAGGGCACCGCGAGGTCTCGAGGTGATCCGCGTGGGACCCACCTCTGCTGGGCCTCCCAGGAGCCCACGAAAAACACGACAATTGCGCAGATCGCAGCTGCCCCCAGGGCACCGCGAGGTCTCGAAGTGATCCGCGTTGGACCCACCTCCGCTGGGCCTCCCAGGAGCCCACGAAAGTGGCGACAATTGCGCAGATCGCAGCTGCCCCCAGGGCACCGCGAGGTCTCGAAGTGATCCGCGTGGGACCCACCTCCGCTGGGCCTCCCAGGAGCCCACGAAAGTGGCGACAATTGCGCAGATCTACGAGACCTATGTTGCATCACATCACCAATTTGGCCCCTGCTGATTTTTTTTTCAAATAATATTTTGGGATGAAACGCTGCCGCTGGATAGATCGAGCACAGTTGATCACAACACAAACGCTCCTGCGAGCCCCCGCCAAAATGGCAAGAAATGGTAAGCTCAGATCCGCACGGCTACATTGCAACCGAACCGCTCGACCACCATCTCGACCGAACTGGCGGAATTCGACCACGCGTCCGACAAAATGCGTTCGACGAGGGACGCGCTGCACAATGCCCCGGCCACGGGCAGCGTTACGAGGGAAAGCGGGCCCTTCGATGTGTCACTTTCAGCGCCCGTGAAAGTGACACCTCCCAGGGCCCACTTAAAGAGCACCAGAAAGGCTCCAAGAAGGCCCCGAGAAGGCCCCAGGGCGGCACCAAGAGGGCTCCCAGAGGGACCCAAGAGAGGCCCCAAGAAGGGCCCAAGAGGGCCCTCCGCGGTGTCACTTTCAACGCCCGTGAAAATGACACCTCCCAGGGCCCACTTAGGGCCTCAGAAAAGCTCTAAGAAGGCCCCGAAAGGGCCACAGAGAGCCGCCCTGGGTTCAACTCCGCGTGGCGGAGTTGGAAGCGATAACTTCAATACCCTACTGGAGGCCTCTTAGGGGCCCTAAGACGGCACTGAAGAACCCCATCGGGGCTTTTTCAAAGGCAGAGGAGGGCGCAAAAAGGGGCCTCAGTGAGCCCCTGGTCTAACTCCACCTGGCGGAATTGGAAGCGATATCGCCCGGCGCCTTCATGGAGCCGCTCGGAGCTTCCAAGACGGCTCCAGAAGGCCCCAGGAGGGCCCCAAGAGGATCGAACGACGATTCCTGGAAGTGCACCAGTGAGACCCTTGTTGACCTCCGCCTGGCGGAGTTGGAAGCGACAATTTCCAGTGCCCTCTTGGGGCCTCTGGGGGGCCCCTCAGAAAGCTTTGGGGAGCACAGTGAAGGCCTTCGCAGGGCCGCGTGAGAGCCGTACCAGGGCCGCATGTGTGCGCGGATGGGGGCGACGAGTGCTGACGCTGACGAATATGAGAATGATGAGGGCGATCAAGGCTGGCCCGAAACAAATCCTGGCGCCATTGCAGGCCGCCGATTATCGGCCACGCCGCCAGGACGACGCCAAGCAACAAAACGACACCAACCAACAAACCGACACCAACCAACAAACCAACAAATCGACACCGACCAACAAAAGGACACCAAGCAACAAAACGACACCAAGCAACAAAACGACACCAACCAACGAAACGACACCAACCAACAAAACGGCACGAATCAACAAAACGGCACTGACCAACCAAACGACAAATCACTTCACGACACCAATGAACAACGCGAAATCCACCGACCGCCAACCAAGCATAAAATCAACCGACACAACGAAACCAACCCATAGAGCCAGACCAACCACTGGATTCGTGAGTCGGGGTAGTCATGAAGTGAGCCGCTGCAGCCCGCGGAAGCCATTAACAGTGACCAGAGCACCGCAATGCAGCAGCGTCCCCGGGCGGCGGCGGGAGTCTCGGATCTCCCGCGGGACTGGAGCGTAGCGAGTTCGTCCTGGGTCCGGTTTAGTGAAGTGAAGAATTTCGGGGTGCTTGGCATGGCAAAACCTTCACTTCACTAATCTGGGGCCCCTGGAGCCCCAGGGCGTTTCAGGTCCCCTCGCTGTCTGGGTAGTCCAGGGGGCGCAGTGGCGGCTTACCAGAGGCCCTGTTCCCTAACCTCACTTGCTTTCACCCGCGGTGCTCGACGGCCGTCTCGGAGGGCCCCAAGAACGTTCCCCGAGGGCCCCAAGAGGGACCCCCCAAAGTGGTACAAAGAATTCGCGCGAACGTGCAATCTGTTGTAGGCCTTTCGGGGCCCTCTGGGAGCTCTCTTGGGGCCCCCATTGGTGGCGCTTTGGGGCCTTGGGATGGCTCCAAGAGGCTTCGGGATTGCCCCAGACCGCCACAAGACAGCTCCGAGGGCCCACT